GAAAAAGGAACTTTCCTGCACTGTTGGTGGGAATGTAGACTGGTACAACCATTGTGGATGTCAGTCTGGAGATTTCTCAAAAAGCTGGGATTGGAAGTCCCATTTGTACCAGCTATTCCACTTCTAGGCATATTCCCAGAAGAACTAAAAGTGTCATACCACAGTGATATATGTGCACCTATGTTTATAGCAGCACAATTTGTAATAGCCAGATCTTGGAAACAATCTAAGTGTCCATCAAATTAGGAATGGATAAAAAAAGTTGTCGTATTTTTGTATAATGGAGTACTACTCAGCTATAAAGAATGATCACATTGAGATATTTTTAAATAAATGGACACAACGTGAAACCATACTCATAAGCAAAACAAATCAAACTCACATGTACAGATACTGTATAGTCTCCCTAGTGTAAAAAATGGTAAGAGTACATAAGCGTTTATAGTAATCATGATTCCCCATTACATTGCTTTGAAGCCTTATAAGGTCTGCATTCATTAGTTGGAATGGTTTTATTGTAGTTTGTTTGATTTTATTATCTGTGATAGTATGAACAACTATTTTGAAGAAAACAACACATAAGAATACCCAATGCTGATTTAGTATCATGTTACTCTGAAGTCCTACTATGTTTTTGGTTTTCTGTTTCCGTTGGTTCTTTCATGTTATATCTTATTGGATAGTATTATGTGTGATAATATAAACAAATTTTCTATGGAAAATAGGATAAGATAGTAGCCATTGTTTGTTCTCTGCTATTTGTTTCTGAAAGCCCTGTAATGCTCTCATTCTCTTGAATGGTTTTATACTGTTTTGTTATGTTTGATACTATTGTATATGAAGCTATGCTCAACTATTTCAAAGAAAGAGACATTATGGTAGTTACTGTTAATTATGGGTTGTCTTGTAGTAAAGTGGTGTATTGCTTGCATTGTACTGATCTGATCTGCTTTGTTGTGTCCTCTTTTGTCTTAATCTCCTTAAAATAAAAATAAAAAATAAGATCAGTTATAGTAAGACAATGTAAGTAATATAGGGCTTCAGTTTAAGTTAATAGGAAATTAAGGATAGTTATCATAGTATATCCTGCTATTTTGGGGATAGCTGTCTGTGTCTTCAAATCTAGTACAAGTAGACAGACTGGAACAGAATAAAATCAAACTAAACAGAGTGATAAGACTAATTGGCTTTTAAATCCTGATACACTATTAACAATGTCCTCTGCCTTCTTTCTTTAGACAGTTCCTCCCCTTTTCCTTTCTCAGGGTGCTTTGTACATTTTGGGTCCCACAACTCCTTTAGTTTTTAGTTGGGGGGGGGCAACGCACCATCTACTTAAGGGGTACTGAACCTCTTTACCCCTCAGCTTGATCTTTAGCTGTATTCCATTACCTACTAAAGCCTTAAGGTTTTCTTTCCTTATAGCTGAGTAATTTTCCAATGCACGAAAGTGTCAATTTTCCAACCTATCTGCAGCTGCTGGATGAGCTGTCCCTATTTCTCTCTGGTTCCCTGTCACATAGTGCACTGTTTTCTGATCTCTGACTTTTGGTTTATTAACCCTCTTTCAGGTTGAGAATATTTCCTATCCATCGCATCTCGATGGACCCTATCTCCTGATCTACTCTGCCTGTGTTTCTTTTTGTTAGTGTATCAAGGCTATCTATATTAGAGATTATAGCCAACCTTCTCTGCCTTACCTCTGTATGCATTTTTCTGCTATTGATTGTCTACTTTTCTCCTTTATTCCACTGTCTGTCCCATTCACTGAGGCCTCTTTGTCACTGTTGCTGGCATTCTGGTATTTTTTTTCTTTGTCTAGAATGTCCTTCAGTATTTTTTGTAGGACTGGATTGGTGGTCATGAACTCCCACAGTTCCTCTTTGTCATGGAAACACCTTGTTTCTTCCTTAATTTTTTTTTGTCTTTTTCCTTTTTATTGGTAGCGGGGATCAAACTCATGACTGCCTGTTTGCAAGGCAGGCGCTTATGCTGCTGAGCTAAATTCCCAGCCCCTTCTTCCTTAATTTTGAGAGACGGTTTTGCAGGGTACATCAATCGTGGTTGGAGGTTATTTTCTTTCAGGGCTTAGAATACTTCATTCAAAGCTCTTCTTGATTTGATAGTTTGTGTGTCAAGAAGTCTGTCATGATTTTGATGGGTTTTCCTTTATAGGTGATCTGTTTCTTTTCTCTGATGCCTTATAATATTCTGTTCTTGTGATGAATTTCTGGGATCTTGATTATTATATGTCTGGGTGTAGATCTGTTTTGGTTGTAGCTGGCTGGAGTTCTATATGCCTCATTTATCTGGATATCATTCCTTTTCCTATGCTTTGGAAGTTTTCCTTAATCATTTCTGTGAATAGCCTTTGAAATTCACTCGTGTTTACTCCTGCTTCTTCACTCATGTTTTTTATTTTTAAGTTATAGATTCTCTTGTCATCTTCTAGCCTTTGTATTGTGACTTCCTGGTTCCTTGTTATTTTTAAGAGATCTTTTCTTCTATCATCACACATTGTAAATCTATCTTCAGGCTTTGAAAGTGTAACTTTAATTTCTGTCAGGGAATTTTACCAGCTTTCAATGGAGTTTTTTTAATTTTCTGGTAATCTCATTGGATTTGTTTCATGTATTCTAGATTTTCTTCATATTTTTCATCAAGCGTTTGTCTTCTTTTTCCACTCTTTCATCTCCATCTTCTTCAGAGGTGCTCAGCATTCCTTTTAATAATCTTTTTATATCTTGCCTCAGTTGAATTAGAATTTCAATTTTAAGTTTGTCTATGAGGTCATGAAGGTATTTCTTTATGTCTGCTGATGCTGTGGCTGATATTGTATGTTTGCTGCCCTTGATCTCTTCTGTATTTACCTCTTCTGGACTTATTTTCTCTGGGTCAGCTGCTGGAGGCTATTTCACTTTCTTCTCTTGTCATGTTTCTGGTTTCTTTCAGACAGGTGTATGGTGGAGATCTGAGACCATTTCCATATTGCTTACAGTTTTTCTGAGGCGTGCTGTCTGGGGAATTGTTCCCTTCTCCAGTTTACTATCTGAGGTACACACAGGGATGATGTGGGCTGGCCCCTCTACTCTGAGCGAGTCAACAGGTGAGTGTCTTCAGCACATTATTCTGTGCTGTGCAGAAGTCACAGGTTCGGGGCAGTTTCATCCCTATCTATTGGGTCCCGACTGGGGGCGTGTCCCCAATGAAGCACATCCCACCAGTCCTCTTTGGGCCAGGGACGGCTGGCTGATGCCACTGTGGTTCTGGGTTCAGGCCAGTTCTGCCAAACTCCAATAGGTCATCCAGACTGTCACCCACCTCCATGGGACATAATTGCTAGCACTCACCATGGATTAATGCAGCTCTCCACATTGGTTCCGGTCTCCATTGTGTTGAATCCTCCCACCAAGGGCTCTGGATTTGCCAACTCCCGATTTTGGTGGTGTAATTTCAGCATGACTCTGAGTCGTCGGACTCCAAGGTATGTGCCCAGCACAGCATGGGACCGGCCCTAATGAGAGCATCTGGTTCCAGCCTTTTCTGTTATTTTTCTTTTTTCTCATTTTCTTTTGGGGTCGTGACAATTTATCTCCTTTCATCTGGTCTTCTCCATGGTGTTAAATTCTAGCATCTGAGTTGTTTTTCTCACAAAGACTCTCTACCCTGCTACCTATCAAGCGGCTGTCCTCAGACCCTTTCCCAGCAACCATTATGTACTACCATGTCTCCCAAATCCAGGATTCATGGCTCTAGAAATGAAAGAGGGGGACTGAGAATGGTACCACTCACTGTTACCTATAATGGTATATTAGCAAAAATTTGCATCGTGTTCTCATGACCATAAGTTCTGGATGCTCAGAAAGAAGTCTTACTTCTAGAAGTGGGAGGATTTGCACCAGGAAGAACAGTGATACCTATGAGCTGGAAGTGAAGTTATCCCTGGTTGCTTTGGTCTCATGAATTGAGGAAAGAAACTAAAATGGGAGTGACACTGTTGAAAGTAGTGACTGACCCAGACTGTCAAGGGAAAATTAGACTATTACTTCAGAATGGAGAAAAGAAAAAAGATACTTGGGGTGAAAGAAGTTTCTTAGTATATCACGTCAGACTGTCATGCTGTTATTAAAGTCAATGGGAAAGTATAATTATCCAATCCAGGCAGAAGGTCAAAAGGTTCACAGATTTCAGGAATGAAGGGAAGGTCCCTGTATCAGGGAAAGAACCAAGACCAACTGAGTTGTTTTTCAAAGAAAAGGAATATAGAATGCATCTTACGAGCAGTTCTAAATACAAGTTATGGCACCATGATCAGCTACAGAAATGAGGACTGGGCAGTTGTTTTCTAACATCCTTACAATGTAATATGTTGACAGTCTTTAACATTGGTTGTTTCTTATTAACTGAAATGTTAGAACAAACACTCACAGAAAATTGCCCTATTCTGGGCAGAGGAGTTAGTGCATTTCCACTTGTAGACAGGACAGTATGTATAGTATAATTATGAACTCATTTTTGTGTCTAGAGACAACTCCTAAAGAAATGTGTGTAGTTGTGGTGTTTACGGGGGGTGGATAGTGCCAGTTCAGACTGCCAAACTGTGGAGAACTAAATTTGCCCAGCAAATTATGGACAGGGAAGACCTACACTAGAAAAAAGATTCTTGACAGAGTGTCACAAAAAAACAACAAAGACTTCCCATATGTTTTTGTGGAGGAACTCCAGGGTTCACTATCACATTGGAAGCCACGTCCCAACTTCTAGACTTTGGTACAACACATCATTCTGTTTTATGGCATAGACATTTTGATCTCTGGGGGCACAATAGTGGGCTTCAGGACTGGAATGTGATTGTTTGGATATCCAGTGCAGACACACTGTTTGCTTTCATCCACATCTGAGTGTGTGTGCTGACACTGAAAGACACTCTTGTACATGCTTATGTAATGATATATCTCACATTAAAACTGCTTCTCTAAGAAACAATGACTGACAATCTATTACAGTTCATGATATCTTTATTACAAGGGCACAGTTCATCCCATGTGTCTCAATTAGAAACACACAGCAGTATCATTTGCTGTATAAATTGTGGTAAACTAACAATCAAATTCAAGTTATACAACATAAACATGAATATAAAATATTGATGGTAAGAAAAAATTTCCTGTAAATCATGACATTGTTTTCAGTATGAAAGCAGAATAGGTGAAATGATATGCTTTATATAATTATGTTGGAATGTAAGCAGGTATCTAATTAGGACATTAAAGATACAACATTTGGTGATCCACAAGTTGTGTGCAAAAAAATGAGTTTTTAAAAATAAATTCTTCATTGGTTGGTATTTGGCTCAGTGGTATAAGCACATGCCTGAGAAGTGCAAGTTCCCAAGTTTGATCCCCAGTATATACACACATACAAAAAATGCTTGCATATCTAAATTCCCAGACATTTACATATATATCAATGAATTTAGGTTTCTAGTTAGGTCATGAAATATACATTTGGTGATCTGCAAGTTGTGTGGAAATATATGAAGTTTTAAAAATATATGTACATATCTCTAAATATGCATATTTACATATATATCAGGAAGTTAAAGCTATCATTGTGTATACAGAATATGAATTGTACACAAGAAATTTAAATTAAAACTAGTAGGACATCCCAGTTGAAAACTATTAATAAAATGGATGGGAGACCTCCTGGGAATACCGGGTGCTGTAGGCTTAAAAAAAAAACTATTAATAAAGTTTATTTTTTTATCAGAGTATACCTCACCATACTAAAAAAAAAATTCAAAACTGCTTATATAGTAATTCCACTTGGAAATGACAAATATTTCATTTCAACTCATCTCATTAGAAAATACTATATACTAGCATGGAAGACTGGCTTACACAAAAATATTGTTTTATTTTAATTTTAATTTTTTAAAATCAGTACCTGGATAGAACTCACGACCGTGTGCTTGTAAGGCAGGTTATGCCAGTGACCTAAACCCCCTGCCCTGGATATTGTTTATTTTGTTAATTGGGTTATTCTTTGAGAGGAGGGGTTACCAGGGATCAACTATTGATTGCATGCTTGCCAGGCAGGCACTTGTGTCACTAAGCTACATCTCCTGTCCACCAAATTATATTATATGAATGTTGTTTGTAGTAATGACTATAGATAAATATTTCAGTTTTAAAGTGATTTTTCTGAAAAACAGACAGAATACTTTCCAGGACATGTGTATCTAGCAATGTATTTTCTGTAAAGACCATGAAAATATACTGACATCAAATTTTATATTTCAATGTGTACAAGTCTCACTATAGGAGGAATTTTCGCCCTTTTTTCCACATAGGTTTACATAGATAGGGTCAGTTTCCAGTGAATTCTTTCATGTAGCTGATCAAAAATGTGTTCACGGAATTCTTTCCTCACATTGTTGATATACATAAGGTTCCTTCTCAGAGTGAGTTATGTATATGAATTGAAGAACTACTAGCAAATCTTTTTCTGAAAGAGCTCACATGCATATGGTCCCATCTGTGAGTTCTTTCATGGATTTGACAAGATGTGTGTGTAGTAAATTTCTCCATATTGCTCTAACAGATAAGATTTTATCCTAGTGTGAGTACATTCATGTCTTTTACAGCTATACTTTCAGTGAATGCCTTCCTGCATTGCTTGCACACAAGGTTTCTCTCCAGTGTGAATTCTTTCATTTGTTTGCCTCTTACTGTGTTTAAGTAGTGCCTTCCCACACTGCTTGCACACATTAGGTTTCTCCCGAGTGATTTCTTTCATGACGCTGACAATGACTGTTTGAAATGAATGCCTTTGCACAGTACTTGCATACATTAGGTTTTTCCCCCAGTATGAAATCTTTCATGTACGTTACAAGAATTCATGGTAGCGAATCCTTTTCCACATTGCTTACACACATAAGGTTTCACCCCAGTGTGAGTGAGTTCGTGTCTTTGACAAGAGTGGTGTGTAGTGAATGCTTTCCCACACTGCTTGCACTCATAAGGTTTTTCCCCAGTGTGAGTTCTTCCATGTACTTGACACTCATTCCGAGTAGAGAATGCCTTCCCACATTGTTTGCATACATAAGGTTTCACCCCACTGTGAAGTCTTTCGTGTTTTTGACAATAATTGTGTGTACTGAATGCCTTTCCACAGTGCTTGCATGCATAAGGTTTCATTCCTGTGTGAATTCTTTCATGTATCTTGCAATAACCCTTTCTAGTGAATGCTTTTCCACTGGTCACACACATAAGGTTTCTCAACAGTGTGAGTTCTTACATGTGTTTGTCTTTTACAGGGTGTAAGGAATGTCTTCCCACACTTCTTGCACATATAAGTTTTCTCCTGAGTGTGAGTTCTTTCATGACTTTGCCAATTACTGTTCATAGTGAATACCATTGCACAGTACTTACATACATAAAGGTTTTCCCAAGTATGAAATCTTTCGTGTATGTTACAAGAACTCTTGGTAGTGAATCTTTTTCCACATTGCCTGCATACATAAGGTTTCACCCCAGTGTGACTACGTTCATGTCTTTTGTAAGAGTAGTGTGCATTGAATGCCTTTCCACAGTGCTTGCATGCATAAGGTTTCAGTCCTGTGTGAATTCTTTCATGTACCTTGGAATAACTCTTTGAAGTGAATGTTTTTCCACATTGCTTGCACACATAAGGTTTCATTCCCATGTGATTTCTTTCATGTACTTGACAAGATTTGTGGGTAGTGAATGTCTTCCCACACTGCTTGTACACACAATGTTTCTCTTCCATGTGACTCTTTTCAAGAATTTTATACCTTTGAGCGTGGAAGGAATTTTCATATTGCTTGCTTTCATATGGTTTCTTTCCAGCGTGAATTCTTTCAGCAATTTGAAGACCAGTGGGGGTGCTGGAAGCTTTCACATTTTCCTGATCAACAACCATCTTCTCTTCAAAATGAGTTCTTTCACTAAATTCAGAGTAGGATTTCATGCACTGCTCATGTTGATAGGGTTTCTCTCCATTCTTTGTCCTTGTATGCTTCTGAAAGTACTGGAAATTACTGCAGGGTTTTCCATGTTCATTACATTTATTCAGCTTGTCTTCAAATCCCAAATACTCACGTGGCTTTCCTCCAGGGTGAGGTAAGATGGGCATATTCAATGATAAATGAACAATCATGGGCTCTCCACAAACGAAACTTTCAGCTGGCTTTAAAGCGGATTTTGTCTTGTCTGCATTAACATCTGAAGGCCAAAGGTACATGTTTTTATGTTGATTGTAAGTTTTATGTTCATACCACATTGCTTCCTTATCATTTCTGTACAGAAACAAAACATTAATCGTGCTAAAAATATCTCCGTATCAATAATGTAGCAGCCCAAGTTCCGGCTCACTGCCTTCTAAGAAATTTTCAGAAAAATTTGGCTGATAACCCTGGAGAATGATTGCACAACACACACTTCCCAAGGATGATATTCATTGGGAAATTTAAATGGGTTTTGCAATAAGTGAGATAAAGTTTCATTTAAGTCACTGATTCATATGTGTATAACAAATTGCTTATTTTTAAAAAAATTTTTTTGGTCTTTTTTTCCTTTTTATTGGTACCAGGGATCGAACTCACGACTGCCTGCTTGCAAGGCAGGCGCTTATGCCGCTGAGATAAATCCCCAGCCCCACAAATTGCTCATTTTTGAAGCCTTATCGCAACACTCTCCCCTTTCTATCTCTTCTTAATTTTACTCCCTATTTTATAGTTTAGTATTCTATATAATAGTGTCCATCAAATGAGGAATGGATTAAAAAAGTTGTCGTATTTTTGTATAATGGAGTACTACTCCGCTATAAAGAATGATCACATTGAGATATTTTTAATTAAATGGACACAACGTGAAACCATACTCATAAGCAAAAGAAATCAAACTCACATGTACAGATACTGTATAGTCTCCCTAGTGTAAAAAATGGTAAGAGTACATAAGCGTTTATAGTAATCATGATTCCCCATTACATTGTTTTGAAGCCTTATAAGGTCTGCATTCATTAGTTGGAATGGTTTTATTGTAGTTTATTTGATTTTATTATCTGTGATAGTATGAACAGCTATTTTGAAGAAAACAACACATAAGAATACCCAATGCTGATTTAGTATTGTGTTACTCTGAAGTTCTACTATGGTTTTGCTTTTCTGTTTCCTTTGGTTCTTTCATGTTGTATCTAATTGGATATTATTATGTGTGATAATATAAACAGATTTTCTATGGAAAATAGGATAAGATAGTAGCCATTGTTCATTCTCTGCTATTTGTTTCTGAAAGCCCTGTAATGCTCTCATTCTCTTGAATGGTATTATACCCTTTTGTTATGTTTGATAGTCTCGTATATGAGCTATGCTCAACTATTTCAAAGAAAGAGACATTATGGTAGTTACTGTTAATTATGGGTTGTCTTGTGGTAAAGTGGTGTATTGCTTGCATTGTACTGATCTGATCTGCTTTGTTATGTCCTCTTTTGTCTTAATCTTTTTAAAATAAAAATAAAAAAATAAGATCAGTTATAGTAAGACATTGTAAGTAATATAGGGCTTCCGTTTAAGTTAATAGGATATTAAGGATAGTTATCATAGTATATCCTGCTTTTGTACAACACATCATTCTGTCTTATGGCACAGACATTTTGATCTCTGGGGGCACAATAGTGGGCTTCACGACTGGAACTGGATTGTTTGCATATCCAGTGCAGACAGACTGTTTTCATTCTTCCACATCTGAGTGTGTGTGTTGACACTGAAAGACACTCTTGTACGTGCTTATGTAATGGTGTATCTCACATTAAAACTGCTTCTCTAAGAAGCAATGACTGACAAACTATTACAGTTCATGATATCCTTTATTACAAGGGTACAGTTCATCCCATGTGTCTCAGTCAGAAACACACAGCAGTATCGTTTGCTATATAAATTGTGGTAAAATAACCATCAAATTCAAGTTATAAAACATAAACATGAATATAAAATATTGATGGTAAGAAAACATTTTCTGTAAATCATGACGTTGTTTTCAGTATGAAAGCAGAATAGGTGAAATGATATGCTTTATATAATTATGTTGGAATGTAAGCAGGTATCTAATTAGGATAGGAAAAATACAACATTTGGTGACCCACAAGTTATGTGTAAAAAAATGAGTTTTTGGGGGTGTGGGTTTAGCTCAGCGACATAAGTGCCTGCCTTAAAAGCAGGCAGTCGTGAGTTCGATTCCCGGTACTGATAAAAAGGAAAAAGACAAAAAAAATTTTTAAAGAAATGAGTTTTAAAAAATAAATTCTTCATTGGTTGGTATTTGGCTCAGTGGTATAAGCATATGCCTGAGAAGTGCAAGGTCCCGAGTTTGATTCCCAGTATACACACACACACACAAAATGCTTGCATATCTAAATTCCCAGACATTTACATATATATCAATAAATTTAGGTTTCTAGTTACGTCATGAAATATACATTTGGTGATCTGCAAGTTGTGTGGAAATATATGAAGTTTTAAAAATATATGTACATATCTCTAAATATGCATATTTACATATATATCAGGAAGTTAAAGCTATCATTGTGTATACAGAATATGAATTCAGGAAGTTAAAGCTATGTGTATACAGAATATGAATTGTACACAAGCTATGTGTATACAGAATTTGAATTGTACACAAGAAATTTAAATTAAGGCTAGTAGGACTTCCCAGTTCAAAACTATTAATAAAATGGATGGGAGACTGCTTGGGAGTACTGGGTGCTGTAGGCATAAAAAAAAATACTATTAGGGGGAGAACCAGCAACATCTCCTGAGATCCACGCCATGTTGGAAATTAGGACCCTGGGAAGCCAAGCAAGCACCTCCCCTCCGTGGTAAGCAGAGGCAGTGTGGCAGACTGCAGCCCTTCCAGGGGGAAAATCAGCAGTGTCTCCTGATATCTGTGCTATGTTGGAACTTAGGTCTCTGGGAAGCGAAGCAAGCACCTCTTCTCCCTGGTAAGCGGGGGCAGACTGCAGCCCTTCCAGGGGGAGAATCAACAGTGTCTTCTGAGATCCATGCCATGTTGGAACTTAGGACCCTGGGAAGCCAAGCAAGCACCTCCCCTCCCTGATAAGAGGAGGCAGTAGGGCAGACTGCAGTGCTTCCAGGGGGAGAATCAACAGTGTCTTCTGAGATCCACGCCATGTTGGTGCTTAGGACCCTGGGAAGCCAAGCAAGCACCTCCCCTCCCTGGTAAGAGGAGGCAGTGGGGCAGACTGCAGCACTTCCAGGGGGAGAATCAGCAGTGTCTCCTGAGATCTACACCATGTTGGAACTTAGGACCCTGGGAAGCCAAACAAGCACCTCCCCTCCCTGGTAAGCAGAGACAGTGGGGCAGACTGTAGCCCTTCCAGGGGGAGATCTGCGCCATGTTGGAACTTAGGACTCTGGGAAGCCAACTTGATAATTCACATTCTATGTCTGACTTACTGCATTTAACATTGTGAGGTGGAGTCTCATTTTGTGTGTGTGTGTTTGCATGCACTGAGTAATGAAAAGTCTAAGCAATAAAATGCATATCTAGATTTTTATTTCATTTTCGATGCACACAGTGATGGGCAACTAGGTTCTTACCAGAGCTTACACACTGTGACTTATTTCCAGAAGTCATCTACTGTGAATACCCCTGTAGATTCAGATTTGAGCATAAGCACACATGTATAATTAAGACATTATACACTGAAATGCTTTTGGAATATGTGTGGGGAGTTTTGGCTGGATAATAAGTAAACTTTCAGTTTTACTCTTTGATACTTACATTGAATACAAAAATGGTTGTTTTATATTCCTACACCTAACACATTAGGATGTTTAGAAAAATTTTAAAAATGACGGATCACAATCCTCTGGAAGATGTTTCCAGAATCTATTAACACACTAGCATTCATGTGCATTTTGAACGTTGCTTCTAGTAAGCAATTCTTTACATAATGTACATCTGATTATATATATATATATATCCCTGCCAAACTTAAGATATATTCTTCTCATATATGTCTACATAATATCTAAATGCAACTTCATAATTCATGACGTTGGTCATGAAAGAATGTTTTTATACAGTATCTCTTGTTACATATCACTACTTTCCTAATATGGAATATCTTTTTATTCAATGATCAGATTATATATAATCAACCTATATGTGCATAAGTAATATATGATATTAAATAAATTGAAATATAACTTATTTGTAAAGATTCTTGGAATATTTCTGATCATACATTGTCTTGAAAAGTACAGCTTTTCCATTCTTATGAATGCCAATTACCTGAGCTTTGTAGAGCTTCTTCTGGGATGGATTCAGCAGAACCCCTCCTCGTTGGAGAAGTTCACGGTTACATCCTCCAAGGTCACTGCCTCCTAAAGAATCACATGTATTTTTCCTGAAAGAAGGTTCACACTCATACCCTGAGAACTTGAGCTACTTCAAATAAAAATTCCATGTCTACATTGCTTCTGTGTGCTACAGATAAATCAAATTAGGAAGCAATGATTGCCTGGGAGGGTTACTGAAATTATATCGTGGACTATTTCCAAAGTGAAGCTCATAGAAGTAGCCTCCAAATCACAATTTCCAGAAAAAAGCAGGCAGAAAAGTATCGAATGGAGGGTTGTAACAGGTAACAGATTACACCTCTTTTGACATCAGGCTTTTCATATGATTGAGACATTCTTATGTTGCACATAAGTAGCATTTTGAAAACTGAAGGTGTTTTTTTTTTGAAAAACATTAACTGAACATTACACGAAATAAACACATTGCATTCCTTATTTCCTTTTGCATTTTCAAACCACAGAAATCAAGTGATATTTACACTTGTGTGTCCACTTCGCTTCACTTGACAGTGTTGTCTAGGTATAAATATTTAGCAAGTAGTTTCTCAAATTATCCTTCTTCATGGCAGAGTAGTTTTCCATCATTCAAAAACCATCATATCTTTTTTTATCCATTCAACAGTGGATGAACATTTGGGCTAGTTTCAAGATGTATCTATTATAAACTGTGCTTGTAAAAACATGAGTGTGTATATATATCACTGTGATGTGATGCTCTTATTCTTTTACGGAGCGATCAAGAAAGGAAATAAGTGGATGAAATGGATCTTCAAGATTTTGTGTTTTGAAGTGTCTGACAAAATATTTAAACAAATACGGGAACCATGTGGTTTTGGGGAATACGGAGGGACAAGAAAAAATGTTTTATAAATTAAAAGAAGACGGTCTCAATGAAAGTAAGGAGTATACAAGAAAAGCAGCAAGATATAACAGGAAAGGAAAGATCTTTTGAAAATAACAAGGAATCAGGAAACAACAATTCAACAAATGCAAGATGATGCAAAGAAGAATAACATAAGAATGATAGGGATTAATTAAAGAGAGGGAGACAACATGAAGGATGTCAGTAGGATATTTAGAGAAGTAATAGCTCAAAATTTCCCAAGCATGAGATCAGAAACTGACATCAGGATCAGTGAAGCATATAGAACTCCAAACAGTCATAACCAAAATAAAACTACACCCAGACATACAATAATCACCATCCCAGAAATCCAACACAAGAATAGATTATTAAAAGCTGTCAGAGAGAAAAGACAGATCACTTATAAAGGAAAACCTATCAGAATCACAGCAGACTTCTCAGCACAAACGATAAAGTCAAGAAGAGCATGGAGTGAAGTATTCCAGATCCTAATGCAAAATGATTTCCAACCAAGACTGATATATCCTGCAAAACTATCATTCAAAATAGATGGTGCAATACGATACTTCCATGACAAAGAAAAGCAGAAGAACTTCATGAACACCAAACCAACCCTGCAAAAAATATTGAAAGACAGTTTAGATACACAAAGGAAAAAACCACTAAGCAAAGCAAACAATTAAACAGAACAGAAAGATAAAGATGCAACAGCAAAGAGATAACATTCCTACAATTAACCAGCATTTAACAGTAACAACCATTAATGTAAATGGTCTCAATGCACCAATCAAAAGAAACAGACTAGCAGAATGGATCAAGAAACAAAATCCAACCATATGCTGTTTACAGGAAACCCATCTAACCCAGAAGGATACTCACAGACTGAAAGTCAAAGGATGGAAAACAATTCTTCATGCAGCAGGAATCCAAAAAAAGGCAGGAATAGCCATTCTGTTCGCAGACAACGTGAACTTTAAACCAACAATGACCATAAAGGACAAAGAAGGTCACTACATACTCGTAAGGGGAAAACTCCAAGAGGAAGAGATAACTATCTTAAATATATACGCACCAAACTCCAGAGCACACAGTGATATACAACAACTATTAACAGAAATGAAAACTCAAATGATCAGTAACACAGTTTTAACAGGAGACCTTAATACACCACTGACACCAAGGGACAGATCAACCGGACAGAAAATGAGCAAAGAAATAACAGAACTGAATCACACCTGTGAACAAATGGGTTTGATAGACATATACAGAATGTTCCACCCAACAACATCAGAATACACATTCTTCTCAGCAGTACATGGATCATTTTCTAAAATAGACCATATATTAGCTCACAGAACATATTTAAGCAAATGCAAAAGAGTTGAAATCATCCCGTGCATATTATCGGATCATAGCGCTCTGAAATTAGAAATTAATGACAAAAGATACTGCAAAAATTCCGCAAACACATGGAAACTGAATAACACACTCTTGAGTAATCAGTGGGTCACAGAAGAAATTAAAGAAGAAATTAAAGAATACCTAAAAGAAAATGAAAATGCAGATACAACTTACCGGAATCCGTGGGATGCAATGAAAGCCGTTCTGAGAGGAAAATTTATTGCACTGAGTTCCCACATCAGGAAAACAGAACGAATACAAATAAATAACTTGATGCTACACCTCAAACAGCTAGAAAAAGAAGAGCAAATCAAGCCCAAAGCCAAAAGAAGAGAGGAAATTATAAAAATCAGAGCACAAATCAATGCAATAGAGACTAAGAAAACAATCCAAAGAATCAACGAATCAAAGAGTTGGTTCTTTGAAAGAATAAATAAAATTGATAAGCCCCTAGCCAACCTTATTTTAAAAAGGGAAGAAAAAGCTCAAATTCATGCAATAAGAAATGAAAAAGGAGAAATCACTACAGACCCAATAGAAATACAGAAGATCATCAACACCTATTTCGAAAAACTCTACTCTCAAAAGTTTGATAACACAGAAGAAATAGACAGATTCTTAGAAGCATATGAAGTACCAAAGCTAGATCAAGAGGATATAAAACTGTTGAATAACCCAATCTCTGCTAATGAAATTGAGAATGTAATTAAGGCCTTACCCACCAAGAAGAGCCCAGGCCCAGATGGATTCACTGCAGAATTCTACAAGAAATATAAAGAAGACCTAATGCCGACACTCCTTAAACTATTCAATGAAATTGAAAGGGAAGCAATCCTTCCTAAGTCATTCCTGGAAGCAAATATTACTCTAGTAACAAAACCTGAGAAAGACCCAACTATAAAAGAGAACTATAGACCGATCTCCCTAATGAACACAGATGCAAAAATCCTCAATAAAATACTGGCAAATGGGATCCAGCAAATCATCAAGAAGATTATACACCATGACCAAGTGGGATTCATCCCAGGAATGCAAGGATGGTTCAACATATGCAAATCAATAAATGTAATCCACCATATCAATAAAGCCAAAAATAAGAATCACATGATCATTTCTATAGATGCAGAAAAAGCCTTCGATAAGGTCCAACACTTATTCATGATAAGAACTTTACAGAAAATTGGAATAAATGGTCTTTACCTCAATATAATAAAGGCCATTTATGACAAACCAACAGCCAGCATCATACTAAATGGCCAAAAATTGAAAGCCTTTACTTTAAAATCGGGCACAAGACAAGGATGTCCTTTATCACCACTCCTATTTAATATAGTACTGGAAGTACTAGCCAGAGCAATTAGGCAAGAAAGAGAAATAAAAGGGGTAAAGATAGGAAAAGAAGAAGTTAAATTATCATTGTTTGCAGATGACATGATACTCTACATAGAAGACCCCCTAAACTCCATTGAAAGACTCTTAGATACAATAAATAAATTCAGTAATGTGGCTGGATACAAAATCAATACTCAGAAATCAATAGCATTCCTATATACGAACAACAAAATCACAGAGAGGGAAATAAGAGAAACTGGACTATTCACATTAGCAAGCAAAAAAATGAAATATTTAGGAATTACTCTTACGAAAGAAGTGAAAGACTTATACAGTGAAAATTATAATACACTGAAAAAGGAAATTGAAGATGATCTCAGAAAATGGAAAGACATCCCTTGCTCATGGATAGGAAGAACAAACATTGTGAAAATGGCCATTCTCCCAAAACTGTTATACAGATTCAATGCAATCCCAATAGAAATACCATCAACATACCTTATAGATCTAGAGAAATCACTCCTAAATTTCATCTGGAACCAGAAGAGACCTAGAATCGCAAAGGCAATTCTAAGCAGCAAAGACAAAGCAGGAGGCATCACAATCCCTGACTTGAAGTTATACTACAAAGCAACAGTAGTAAAATCAACATGGTATTGGAATCAAAACAGAGCCGAAGATCAGTGGAATAGATTAGAAGATACAACCACAACTACGAACACACTCAACCACCTTATCTTTGATAAAGGAGCCAAGCAGGTTCACTGGAAGAACGACAGTCTCTTTAATAAATGGTGCTGGAAAAACTGGCTCTCCATTTGCCGAAAACTAAAGCTAGACCCATGTCGATCACCATGTACTAAATTAAAATCTAAATGGGTCAAAGATCTGAATATTAAACAGAAACACTAAATCTATTGGAAGACAAATTAGGTAGAAACCTTGGAGACATAGGAGTAGGTAAAGAATTCATGAACAGGACTCAAACCGCATGGGAAATACTTCCCAGAATCAATAACTGGGACCACTTCTTATTAAAAAGTTTCTCCATGTCAAAAGAAATCTCCAGCATAGTGAAAAGAAAACCCACAAACTGGGAAAAGATTTTAGTGAACTCTCTCTCAGACAAGGGCCTCTTGTCTAAAACATATAAATAATTAAAGACACTCAGACCTCCAAAATTCAAAGATCCAATCCAAAAATGGGCATCTGAGATGAATACGCAATTCTCAGATGAAGAAATGCAAATGGAAAATAAATACATGAAAAAATGCTCATCATCATTGGTCATTAGAGAAATGCAAATTAGAACCACACTGAGATACCATCTCACTCCTGAAAGAATGGCCAGGATCAAGAAAACCGACAACAAATGCTGGAGAGGCTCTGGGGAAAAAGGAACTCTCCTGCACTGCTGGTGGGATTGTAGACTGGTACAGCCTTTGTGGAGATCTGTCTGGAGATTTCTCAAAAAGTTGGGACTGGAAATCCCATTTATTCTAGCTATTCCACTTCTAGGCATATTCCCAGAAGAACTGAAAGCATCATACCACAGTGATATATGTGCATCTATGTTTATAGCAGCACAATTTGTAATCGCCAGATCTTGGAAACAACCCAAGTGTCCATCAACTGAGGAATGGATAAAAAAGTTGTGGTATTTCTATACAATGGAGTATTATTCAGCTATAAAGAAGGATCACATTGAGATATTTATCAATAAATGGGTGCAGCTTGAGACCATACTCATAAGTGAAATAAATCAATCTCGCATGTGTGAATACCGAATAGTTTCCCTAATGTAAGTAATGATTCAAATATATAAAAATATGAGGTAATCATGATTCCCCATTAGGTGGCCTTGGAGCCTTATAAAGTTTTCACTCATTAATTAGAAAGGTTTTATTCTGGGCTTCTTGATATGAAAATATTTGAAGCTAGAGCATATGAAGTTTTATCCAAATATTTCAAGGAAAAAGACACTATGGTAACTACTATTAAGTCAGGTTATATGGTGATGAAGTAGTAGGTTGTTGAAACAGTCATGCTGTGACCTCTATTGTTATATTGTTATGTCCTGTTTTATCCCAATCTCCCCCTTATTGTTTTAAAAAAATTATTTAGTCATTTCTTATGTTTGTCTTAATTAAAGAAAAAATTCAAAAAATTAGGATATATAAATAGTAACTCTTTTTGATTTCCTATTAACTTGTTTTGAAGTCCTGTAGTACTCCCACGATCTTGTTTTGACTGATTAGACTCTGTTCCATTCTATATGATAGTATCAAGTTTGAAGACATAGGCAACTACTTTGAAGACAATAAGATTCACTAAGATAACCATTCTGGTTTGACTATTGTCTTCTTTGGAAGTCCTGTAATGTTTACAATGCCTAAGTTTTATTGGTCTTGTTCTCTACTGTTTTGTCCAACTTTATAATATCTAACAAGATAGACAATTCTTTTTAAGGAAACAAGGGACAACGTTGATAACCATTGTTGATAAACTTGTACTCTGTTCTATACCATGTGCTATGTCTATCCTTGGTATTGACTGACAGCTTTGTTTTGCCATATTTGACTGTATTCTCCCCCCCCCAAAAGTAATAAGCACTAAGGAGTAATAAAATCCAAAATGTGTAAATTTTGTTGTAAAAAAGAGAGGGAAAAAAAAAAGAAAAAGAGCTCTAACGGATATAACAGCAAGTGTGTTTAGGGGTGTTAAATAGCTGACTATATCAATGTTTTTGGATCATTGAACACAGCTGTTTGCAGTCTCCCTGTTTGAATGTCCACCTTGTATTCTTTGATACTGTGATTTGAGGAACTATTTTCAAGATGATAATATGTAATCTACTAACAGGTGATTTCTTACTGTTATTTTTTTTTGTTTGTTTTGTTTTTTTTTGTTTTGTTTTGTTTTTTTTTTGTAGTTCTGTATTACGTGTACCCTTACACCGCTT